ATTGGTTAATTGCATGATCGGTCACATTTTGTCTGAGCCACTCAGTGATTTAACCATCAACAAATTTCATGTACCTGCTTGACGTTCGGCTATCTTCAGGGGTGCACTCCATGTACTCTTTCCATTTGCCCGTACATTGCACTAATTGAAACCTAAACTCTTGATGTCACCAGTAGATGAGTCATTAAACGTAGAATTTCACGCCGCCTAAGGCGGGACTCCTCCTGTGATGTGACTGGCTTTATGCGGCAGTTGATTGTTCATTAACATTTCCGGAAATCATTTCATTATCAATAAGTAATGTAAAGTCAGGAGTACCTGATTTGCAATCTCCCGAAATTCGTTGTTGATGGGAGTACGAAGAAAGTACCCATTCTGAGAACCCATTCACTCCGCGCGTTTCCCTAACTTAGCGTATCGAGGGAAACCTGCGACTGGCACAACAGCTTCATTAAAAACTCAATATCTCGAGAACTACTGGAGATTAGTGAAGGCTAATTGTATCGGCAATTCTTCGATACCTACTCTATAACATGTATTTTTACGAATTTTTCCCGACATGCCATCATGATTTGTTGTTAACTTTATGATTTGTTTATTGATTGATTCATTAAACAAAGTAAATTCAATTTTTTCGAGTCTGGATTTCCCCCCCCCCCCCGAAACTTAAACCTGTTTTGAATAAAAAAGGTATTTTGCACTTCATCGATAAAACTCCTATTTATCGAGTTGTAATTTTTAACAAAATAATTCACCTGGCCCAACCTGAAATTTTTATTTCGCATAACATGAAAAAATTTTTTTTTTAAGAATCATCCAAGGCATGTATGGAATAAATCGACAACATATTCAATTTTTCTTGAAGTTCAAAAGAAAAGTCTTTCAATTGGATCGAAGTATAATAGTATGGAATGCCCCATAGCCTATACTAATCCATACTTTAGTCTGCCTAGTCTATACTTTATTTAACTAATACTTTTTCATGCTGCCTAAGCAGGGTGTCCCAAAACTCCTGTTCAATCTCTCGGGAAATAAAAGGGGGTGAAATTCTGAATCGAAAATTCCTCTTCAACTTTCGGCTTTGGGGCGAACCCGGGTTCGAATCCCGGCTGGGTGATGCGGGATATTTTTTTCAAAATTCTCTTTGAGTTTTTTTAACGAGTTAACAAGCAATTAATTGATGAAGTTGAAAAATGATTGCGGCCATGGCCAGATTACGGTCCGAACCAATAACTTCCCGACCAATTCTTTTTGCTTCCTAATGGACGCTTTGTAATCGCTCAAATTTAAGTTTCCTATTTATTATGTTATGGCAACTAAATATGGTCTAAAAAGTCTGAATATTCAATTTTTCGATGGTGTCCGTATGTATGTGATCTTTTTTCTTCGTTTTTTGCTCGAAATTTTCGTGTAAGGGATCAATGGAATTTCACGAATTTTTCCATGAATATAGACTTTAGTAAGGTCTATTCATTGACACCAATTAAAATTCAATTTCTTCATACAGATTGGAAAAAAACAATATTTTTTCAAAAATCGATTTGTCAACAATCACTCAAAAAATTGTGCTCAAAATGGAATTAGTCATGGCTCAAAAAATTGGTAACATACCCTCTTCATTCTATCAGAATATGATGGGGGTCGCACAATTCCTCGTTGAATTACAGCACATTATTTATGCGTTTTGAAAGAGACAATCGTTTTTTTCATGATTACTGAAAGAATCATCAGTAATAGCGATTAAATCAGGGCTTGGAAAATAAATTTAAATGACTTCTTATTCAAGTTGAAGAAATGGTGAGCATGATGGCTTATCACGATACCATCATGAGCTTTTTATATCAAAAGACCGAACGCGCGCTACAGTGCGCTGTAATTGTAACAATCATAATTGAAAATCTCAAAATTAAATTAATTATGAATTAAATTTGCCGCCTCAGACGACTGGAACCAATGAGGAATAAACGTGACAGACTTGCGAGTTATCAGGTGCTAGTCTATTATGTTGAATACTTATTTATATTGATTCATGGTCTCGACAAACTTCTGGCAGCTCCTTGGTAAAACTCTGACTAAATCCTGAATGGAATCTGATTAAATCTCCGCAATGGACCAACTAAACCTTGATTAAACGCGGACATAAAGAAATAGAAGAGAATAGTGAAATAAGAATTAAAAAAGAGACCTATTCGGAAGCAAATTGCTCATTTATTAACAACAATAGCTACACTCATTTATAAAAAAAATGCCATTGACCATTTGTTTTTTATTCATCATGAAAAACAAGAGTGTACTGGGAATCAGTGTTTTATTTATAATTGAATAGCTGACGAACTTCTCGGGTCAATATCTCCCAAAATATAAATGAAAATGAATGAAATAAATCAAATAACATTATTTCCGAGGAAATAACGATCTCATTTATGAGAAAACGCTATTTCAATCTTTTGTTGATTCATTAAAAAATTGAGGAATCTCTGAGTCATTGTTTTCGAAAATTGCATCGTGTGCACCTTACATGGAGATTTATCAACTGTAATTTAAAACGTTCAAATCACATCATTTCTTTCAAAGAAGTCAGCCCATTTATGAAAAAATGTCAAAAATTGAAGTTTTTTCACGTTTTTTGCGAATAACTAAAAAATTGCTGAGGAACCTGTTTTCCCAATCTAATCAGATCCATCGATTGCGGAAAGGAATTGAATCACACGATTTGTTTGAGAGAAACCTAGTATAAAATATTGTTTATATACATACATACACGCACATCCACACATAGAGACCGGTCTCTAACAAAAATCGGAAGAATTTCCAGGATTCATAAAACATGGAGAAATCATGAAATTTCCACATTCGATATTACAATAATTTTCTTCCTTCGGATCGGGAAGTAAAAAATCATAGGAAAAATTACTGCATAATTTAGGTAATCGAAAAGCAAAAATGTATTTCAGAATTATTTCATTTGGAATAAAGGAAATATAGAAGACGAAAGAGAAATTCTTCTCGCGTAACATAATCTTCCCTTCTTGTGTGAAAAATATCTCTGTAATTCCAAAAAAAAATGACGGGATTTGTGGGAGGGCCCTTCTACATCTAAAACTACCTGCTCTGAGAAGGATTCAACAGAAAAAAAAAATTCTACTCTTCAAGGGAACATCCCTAATTCCCGGGAATGTGTAGGTATAAAATTGTACCATTGAAGAATACTAAAAAATGGTATTTTTATCGCTCTATATTATGAAAACCCAAATCGACGTCTGGTGATGAAAATTCGCTTACTCAAAATTGAGACTCCTAAATTAAAGGTCACGAAAGTCAAAATAAGGGTAATGAGGGTCAGAATAAAGGTCACGAGGGTCAGATCAAGGGACAGATTAAGGATCTAAATAAGGGTCAGAGTAAGGGTCCATATAAAGGTCATGGGGGTCAAAATCAGGGTCACGAGGATTATAATGAGGGTCAGATTAAGGATCCAAATTAGGGTCATGGGTATAAGAAACTAAGGATCACAAGGGCCAATAAGGGTCTCTATCGCTCTATATATTATAAAAATCTAAATCAACTTTTAGCGGTGTCAATTTGATATTCGAAGTTAAGACTCCAAAATTAAGGGTCAAAATAAGGGTCACGAGGGGTGTTAATGAGGGTCGCGAGAGTCCGATTAAGGGTCACAGTGGTCAGAATAAGGATTATACGGGTCATATGGGGATCATATGGAGGTCCTATGTGGGTAATATGGGGGTTGGCGAGCGGAGCGAGCAGGTGGCATTTCCCCTAGTTCTTAATATTTTGTGAAATGATTGTGAAAAATAGACTGAAAATTCTCATTTTTCATAACTATTGTAGTTCAGTTTATTTCCTTGGGATTTACCAGCATCCCTCTCATTTCAAGAGATCATTTTGCCAATAAGACCCATGACTCCATGTCTCTTCAACCTTGAATTTGGAGGTTTTTTTCTCCAGATTTCAGTAAGCAAATCTCTTATGTTCAGGGCATCTTGAGTGACAGCGCAAGTTCCTCAAAATTAAAGTTAATTTCTTGAAATTTTTTTTCCCTCAAATTTCAAGATATTGCCCAAAAAATCATCTGTCCGGAAGGCGGAAGTAATTGCGTCGAATTTATTATGGTAGGCAAACATTCCAGCGCCTTAAGCTTCAATTTTGCAGAATACTTGTACATCTTCGACTCAAGTAATTAATCAAACGCAGAGTTATTGAGCCATGAGGAAATGGAACACAAAAACTGTTACGTCCCCCATTGTAAAACCTCATATCTTCAACAATAAAATTCTCTTCAATCACTCTCGACAAGGTCTCATGACTAACATAATCTCGTCAACACCTTTATGAAAATTCAGAATGGTAGAACAATGGGATAAATCAAGAGGATTATAATACCCGAGAGCGATTTTTCATCACCTTGAATATATTACACTGCGTTTTAATCCCAAACCCATTACCTCACCATTGAATCATCCAAAAACGACACAACATGACACCAAAATTTTTAAAAGCCAATCAATTGTTGTCCGTCAATAGTGGCACGTGTATTACCGCTTGGCATTAACTGACTCCTCCAAAACCCTCTCAACACTACCATAAATATCGAAATAAACCGCTACCTCGAGCATGAAAAGAATGCTTTCAATCGGAATAAACAGTTAAACTGTCTTAAAAAAAATTACTTATGAAAACCACGCAAACTCTTTAAACGTGTGCGAAAGTGAAAACTAACGAATGCACACTGACCCACATAAACAGTGAACCTCAGTAAATCATCCAAGGCTGCAAAGAGTGAACTTGAAATGTCCAAAACGGTGTAGCAATCTTCATCAAGTAAAAAAAAGTAAAAGTATTCTCGGAATCGCACGATGAAAGGAATCGTCGTTAATTGCCCCAACAAATATCCCAGAAACAAATAAAAAAATCTCAAATAATTAGAGCCAACAATGACCATTCATGAAAAATTGAATGGGAAAGTAGTAAAAAAAACTCACCTTATACAATTATCCGGATCATTCTTACAGTCAGTGTTGCATCTGAATCTTTCCCACGCCAGCCATCCCATGGGAGGAGTCCTGACAAGGCCATTCTCAAGAGAAAAACTGGGCCCAACTAGTGCCACTAAGAGGCACAAAATCACCAACATCTTGGAACGCTAATGACTCCAAAAACGAGTTGTCACAACTTTTAAACTCGTAGAAAAGCTGTTGATGGGCGCTCTTCAACTCTTCAGGTGGAGTTGAACTAATCGACTGACAGCATAGCTGAGTGAACTGAATTATAAATAAAGGCTCCTGGCAACAATCAGCGTGGGATGGCCACCGGACAAACAGATAATACCACTGAGATTAATCACAGACTCAATCATTGATTGCAATTTCAAAATGATAACCACGATTAGACATGAATTATTAAAATCCCAACGAAAACTACCATTCGTGCATCATCTCGTCACCACTGTTCATGCCAGACTGATCTGATATAAGACTCCAACCGGTGTTTGAAGTCACAGCCCGCGAAGTACTTTCACCCAATGCCCCATTTCATTTTTACATTGACTATAAGTGCGGCGAGGAGTTGGAAATAGTGGTAGTGATAAGTTTCCCTCCAACCAACACATGCATTCGCCTTGATGTGTACAGTAAAAAAAATATATTAAAAATAAAAACAACCAAGGTGGGGCCTTCTCCTTTCCCATTCACAAGATAATTTCACGCCCACAAAATACAACAACAGTGAGACATTAGGACATGAATTTTGTCGAGGGCTTTCCTTTGTTTGCACTCTCCAAGCTATTTTTCAGATATTGTGGGACACTCGTTAGACTCGTTCTTGTTATGAAATTATCTGCGGAAAATTTTTTTAAGTCTATTTGTCTTTTTATGCGCTATAACTGTGTAAACGTGGCTTGTGAATCTTTTCGTAGGGGAGAATGCGGCAAAATGAAACAGTAAAAACAACGACTGCTTGGCGCAATTCGAGCAAAAAAAATTTTTTTATTAAATATTTTTTTTGTCAACTTTTTTTTATTTTTGAGAGTACTGATGAGAATAATAATTTTCCATTCAGTAGAATGGATCATTATTATTATCATCAGCACTCCTGAGAATAAAAAAAAAGTTGAAAAAAAAAATTTTTATAAAAATTTCTTTTTTGATTAAATCCAATATTTAATAAAAAAATTGTTTTGCTTGAATTACGTCAAACAGTCGTTTTTTTTACTATTTCAGTTGCCCCACGTTTCATTTTTCCCCACAGTTTCATTTCAAAACTTTCAAAACAAAACAAAACTTTTTTCAATGAACGAAAAAAATTATTCCGACCGGTATATCCAGAATCTATATTATCACTCCGGGCTATTATACTCGGCCAAAACTTAAAAACATCTACGGTTTGACCGAGTAAAATAGCCCGCGGGGTGATAATATAGAATACAAAGTTTTTTCTTCGCCCATCAAAACCTCTCAATAATTTTCCATTGTACTGAATGGAAAATTATTATTGTCATCAGTACTTCCGCGAATAAAAAAAAAAACAAAAAAATATGAAAAAATTTTTTTTATTAAACCCGATATTTAATAAAACAAAAATTTTTGCTTGAATTACGTCAGTCTTTTTTTTGCCTGTTTCATTTTGCCCCACTCTCCCCTACGTGAATGATATTTTCAGTAAATGGTCGTCATCATAAAAATGATGGGTCATTTTTTCATATCTGATATGTGCAGTAAGGATCTGTTGCGGAGTAATCTTGTTGTTAATCATTCTCGTGATACACAGATTACCAAGTTCTCAATGAAGTTATCGAGGATTATTTCGCACCTTGATCCCATGCATCATGTATTGATTTTCTTTATTTTGATACTAATGTTATAACTTGGGAGAAATGATTGATTGGGTGGAATTAAATACCTGGCGTGATTACCCCGGTTCATCCGAGATGCAGGTTAATTATCACTTTCATATTGAAAGTATTTTTCATAGAGATGAGAAAAGTTCAGGCTGATTCGTTGTTGTGATAATGAGACATTTGAATTGCCGAGAACAATTGTTTTGCGGTGTTCGTTTTTTCTTCTAGCTGGTGGCTTTTAATGACTCGTATCAGGTGTTCCGACACTTGTTTATGTTTGCTGGGTTAGGCGTTAGGCGGGTTAGGCGAAATGGAAAGGCATATGAGGTCGGTAATGAAGGATTTTACGCGTCCACTGGTTACAATTCAAAAAGACTGATACCATAGACATTTGATTGATTTGAATAATTTGGTGATTTGGCTACTCCAGTAGAGAATTCTATTGGATTTCTATTGAAAAATTGGGAAGTTTATCGGCGCGTTTTTTCTCCAATAGAATTTTCAACGGAAAATATTCTACACACTGAGAGAAAAACGACAAAGTTCTCAAACAAGTCTTACTTGTGACAAGAAAACAGTTTTTTGAAAATTATCAAAAAAGGTTTTTTTTGTGCCAAACATGCAGAGAGTGCGCTGGAATGAAACATTTTTGTCGCAAAAATAGATTTAGTAGGTCAAAAAAAAATTGCATTCTCTGTACACGCAAGAAATGTCATTTCTAGCACTACTCCTTTGTTATTCGATACTCCCATACGTATTTTACTCTTGAAAAAGCTTTGTTTTTTGTGAAACAAGGGATAGTAGTTTTTCGTCGCGGCTGTCTACTAATCACAGACAAGAAATGAACACTTAAATGCAACAGTAATAATGATATGATAGCAATCTTGTCACTTAGGGATAAAATATTTGTTGATAAATTTTCATGTAATGAGATATTTTCATCCTGAAAAGGCACCATCTGGTGTGAATTATCCGTCTCTTGATCCAAATATTTCGTTGCTGTCAAAAGGAGAACAATTATTCATGTCTGAGAGTTTCAAATTCGAATTCAACAAATTCTTTTTTGGCAATTTTCAACTAGCAATTTTGTTGGCCCAAACAAAACTTGTTTGACAACGTGTTTGTTTTTCTCTCAGTGTAGAAAAAATCAATAGAATTTGATTTTTCTGTACAACTTATTCTATTTAAATATTTTCTATAGAAATTGCTCGGCTCAAATTTTTGAAGTTTTTTATTGATTTTATTAATGAGAAAGGGAGAAAAATAGAAGGAACAAAACTTGGAAAATTCATGTCGAGGAATTCCTACCGAAAATTTCTCAACAGAAAAAGTTGCATATTCGACATCTAATAAAATAAGAGTATTTCAATTTTCTTTTTAAAATAAGGGAATCTCAAAATTCCCGTTAACACTAGGGTATTTCAAAATTCATATGAAAGCTTGTTGTTCACATCCATTTCTAAGTCTCATGGAGCTCGCAAATCATTTTATTTCTCTTCCAATGTGAACTACTTCATGTTATTTGTACTTTTTGATGCATTCATACCATTTATACAGCTGTTAAGAGCAGGGAAAACACCAGATTGCAGAGGATTTTGCATATGAATTGTGAGATACCCTTGTTTTAAAAATAAAATTGAAATACCCTTGTTTTATTAGGAAATGTCGATATATTAACGCGATTCTACTGATTTTTTCTATAAAAAAGTTTCTATTAGACATTTCAACTAGTTTTCATTTCATTATTTATTAGTTTTTATTAGACATTTTTTATTTAAAAAATACGCAAAACTAATAGAATTTTCAATCAAAATTCAAGTTGCAATGTTAAATTGATGAGTGACGGCGCTAAAGCTTACAAGATGACTGACATAAAATTTTCCGATTAAAAATTTTCAATTACTCTATCAGGTCCTGGGGAGGTCAATGTTAAAACCCATTTATTATTGAGAAGCATAATTAAGTGGCTATGTAGCTTGGATGGCAGTTACCGTCAGAGTGGAAAATTTCAATGCAATTTTATTTAGGGTGAAATGATTATTTTGAACGATCCGAATTCATACAGTCCTGTATAACATCGTTATGAGGCGCGTAAGAACCAGATTTTTTTCAATGATCGGTTTACCCAAGAAAAAAATTGGATTGAAACTTTCAATTATGATGATACTGCCGTCCAAGTTGTATAGCCAATAAAAAAAATATTTTGTTTAATAAAAAAAAATTTCTAGGCGACGAAGGGAACGAATTCATTCACATGTAATAATCGCCGATAACACGGAGAGAAATTTTTTGGAAAAATTCTAGTGCTAGCACGGAAAAAGAGGCACAAAGTGACGGCCAGGAAAAAATTCCAGTGCCGGCACTGGAAATTGTATTGGGGAAAACGTGAATTTTTCCTCGTATTTCTGTGAAAATTTCACAGAAATCCCCAGCAATTTTACCATAACAGCACTAGAGTTTTTCACAACCGGTAGATTGTAATTTTTTCCAGTACTCGTACTAGAATTTTTCTAGAAAATTTGTCTCCGTGAATTCTCTATTCAGATCAAATGAATCGTTTATTTGATTTCAATGGAGGATTTATCTGGAATTAATCAATTATTCATTTCATATGATTAAAATGGTGTCATTGGAATGAATATATGGGTTGATTGATTCTCAAAAAAAATATTGTTGAAATGAACAAAAAAATTGGAAATGAAGAGTTTTATCTGACTCAATTGCGGTATTTTTCTGAGTATGAAAATCGTTTTTGTTTCAATGAATCAATTACTCACTGGTTAATCAAGCGGTAAACGTGAAAAATGCACTTGTATTGTCTCCAAGTGATTCAACTAATAATTTCACGCAATTTCTTTCTTATATACAACACAATTTCATTATCAATTTACTTCATAATTGCTCCAGCCCCTAATCTCCTTTTCTAGAAACTTTTTCATTTCTAGAAATCTGTCTTTTCTCCCAATAATATAATGATTCACCGCTGAATCAAGCGATAAACGTGAAAAATGCTTTTATACTGTTTCCTAAGTGATTCAACCAATAATTCCACGCAATTTCTTCCTTACCTACAACATAATTTCATCATCAGGCTGCTCGTTAATTGTTCGAACCCCTAATCTCCTCTTCAAGGAATTTTGTCGTTTCTAGAAACCTGTCTTTTCTTTCAATAAGATACACTAAGAAAAAAAATTAACTCTGCCGAAAAACTACATCGACACCTTAATAAGCGTAAGTTTGATGAGTTCTCTATGTAGATACGCTTGTTTGTTACTAAAGTGTCGATATGTCCCATGTAAGAATATTTGATGAAGTGGAACAGATTTACTTGTGGGGAATTAACCGATTTGACAGGAGGAAATTTAATATCTTTCACAAAAATTACATACAGAAAAACCTAAACGTAAATTACGTTCAAGAAGTCGTCTTTTACACTTCCTGAAGCGTATTTTACGTCAGAAGTTCAAGCGTAAATTACGCTCAAAATTGCCGTAAATTACAATTACATAAACGTAATTCACGATTTCGTAGTAATGAATTACGGTTAAATTTACCATTCGTATTTTCTCGTATTTTCTGTTTGCTCATCCTATTTCAATAAATAAATTACGTTTCAATAAACGTAAAAGACGCTTTGTTTGGGCGGAATTTACGTTTTCAAAAAGGTAAAATACGCTTTGTTTAGAGGTAATTTACGTTTTTATTTTGACCATAAAAGACGCTTTTTTAAAGCCTAAATTTCGTTTTTCATCATAACGGAAAAAAAGTACTAGACATCATATTGACATTAAGCATAAATTATATACGTGTATCAAAACATAATTTACATTTAGGTTTTTCAGTGTGTAAATTTTTGTCGTAATCGTCAGAAATAGCTGCACAGGAATTCCAACTGTTGGCAGGAAAAAATATAATCTATTGTACGACAATCATTTGATCCGAGAGAATTCCATGGGCTTGTACCATAGAAAGAATGCATTGACGAGGAGAGAATACTTTTTTCCAAAAAAAAATTGCCGCCTGGACATTATTTAGTTTTGCTAATAACACAGTTTCCGGCAAGAAAATTGTAGTTTCCTCGTGAAATTATCATGTGTTCGATGGTAATTATAAGTGTTTATTGGACAAACATATACACCACTCAATAACATTTACTTGATAAAACCAAAGCCTCATATACTAATTCTCTGTAGAACGAATGTATTTACCCAAGAGGCATGTAAATGTCTCACGAGAACAATTACTACTACGAAAATTATCATGTAATCCGCTATTACTGATATTTAAAATGCATATGAAGTATTCCATGCCAAATGAGTCAATGGCTGATCCTCACCCTCTTGAAAATTGATGGCGATTTTTTCTACGATTGGGGGGCTTGAAAAACTATCTCTCAAATTTTTAAAGATTTTTTTGACAGCGCAGTTCGGAGATATTTTTTTTCAAAGTGTTCGTTTTTTTTACAATAACTCGAGTTCTACTCATCCGATTTCAATTTATTAGGGATCAAAATTTTCCATTTCTCACCACCTATAAGGATGTTTTTTGTTCAAATTTTACCCAATCTCTAGATGCTTACAATGACGAATTTTTGAAAAAAAAAGTTGAAAAACTTGAATTTGACTAATTACGTCACGGTTGATTATTTTAATTTTTTTTTCAGTAATTCTTATAATCAAAACAAAAATTTTGAGCCGTCATACATTTTGGGTTTCGTCTTGGATCTATTTTATATTTAATTTGTTATTCTCAAAATTCTGCGAATTCGGTCAAAATACCCCAAAATGTCATTGGTTGACTTTGATTATAAACAGTATGAAGTAAATTTAAATATATACCTATATATCACATATTTTTTCGATACATAATTAAAGGCGTTTTAAGGTGTTTTCCCCAAATGTTCGCAATTTTTAAAATAAAAAATGTTAAAAAAAGTAGATCCTGGATGGAACCCAACATGTATTACGGCTCAAAATTTTCATTTTCATTATAAGAATTACTGAAAAAAAATTTAAAATAATCGACGGTGACGTAATTGGCAAAATTCAAGTTTTTCAACTTTTTTTTTCAAACATTCGTTATTTCGAGCATCTAAAGATTGGAAAAAATAAAAAAAAAACATTTTTATATGTGGTGAAAAGTGGAAAATTTTGCCCCCTAATAAATCGAAATCGGATGAGTAGAACTCGAGTTATTGTAAAAAAAACGCAACAATTTGAAAAAAATCATTTCCGAACTGGGTTGTCAAAAAAATCTGAAAAAGTTTGAGAGATAGTTTTTCAAGCCCCCT